TGCATGCTGCATGTTGCATGCTGCATGTTGCATGCTGCATGCTGCATGTTGCATGCTGCATGTTGCATGTTGCATGCTGCATGCTGCATGTTGCATGCTGCATGCTGATGACTTATGCTAAAGTCCCTGAAAATTGAAGAAAAGCTAATTTCCATTGCCATCACCTGAAATCAAGGTACAGAATCATCTTTCGGACGGCTGAACGGAGCGTAATTTTGCTGTACTTAACTGTTAAATGACAATAAAGCTGATTCTGAGAAGCTGGAGAGAAGTTTGTTAAAGATGAAGTGACAAAATACTGTGCTTTCATATAAACAAAAATGAGTGCAAAGAACCAGACGACCAATGTCATTACAAAGACTAAGTTTACTGTACTTCCTCTATTATTCCCCAGTGGGGAAATAGATTATCTGCATTTTTCCTATCCAACATGTGAGCACACATGTGGAGCAGAGGGCTGCCATCCAAAGTGCCCAGGGAGCAGGGTTAAGGGCCTTGCTCAAGGGCCCAGAGTAGGGCAAATGGGTGGAGGCAGGTAAGTGTGCTTCATCATTCCCACCCATATTTGATGTTGTCAGTCCATGGGGTTGAACAAGTGACCTTCCGATCACTGGCTCACCTTCTCTAATCGTTGTGTTACCCTCCCCCTTCCAAGTGTTTTTATTTTTATTTTTTATTTTGTTTGTTGTACTTTACATTTATTGTGAAACATCAAAATAACTAATAAGTCACTATCACTGTTTAAGTAAGACTGTTACATTTGGACAACACACAAACTTAAGATTTAGTGGAACGTGAAGCAATACGTGCAGCCACGTTAGCACTCTAGCAAGTGCTTTTATTGTAGCTTGCAAACACTGAACTTGTGTTTTCTATCAAACAGGTGGCCTACCTCATTACACAAATATCCATCTGTCATCTGTTTGTAACTCATTATCTGACCAATTTTTTCATGCATATATATTGCAGTCTAATTCCCCCTCCAATAATTTTGATTTTGCAATCTGCATATGCCAAGAAGCAGTTTTGTAATGCTTTGTGGCTCACAATGCACGGTCTTACCTGTGAGGGACTGCTGGCAGGATCCACTAAGTTCTGACAAGCCATCTGTATGGCTTGGTGGGCTCGTGCAAATTGAATAGGGTCCACAAGCCCTTCATGACCTGAGTGACTATTGGGATCAGAAACACCCACGAGATACGACGCCTAATGAGAGTCAGCAAGAAAAACAGAGGAACATTTCAGGTTTGCGTTTTCCACAAGATTATATTTGTTTTAAAAGACAAACTTGATCCATGTGCTCTGACTAACATATCTGCACATTAACACATACACGATACAGATTCAAAATCGGCAGCAGTTAAGAGAGCAAATAAGAAGTTTGAGGGAAGGAAAAGTGGTCAGAGTTTGCCCTTTTCTTTAAAGGTCAGCAGAATCTTGCAGTGAGATGAGGATGTTACTTTACAGCTTTAAGGGTGGTAGTCGGTAAAACCTCCAATTTAATCTGGCTTACTCTGTCATTGGCTCCAAATGCAAGCACCTCAGTAAACTCTAATGGGCATTTATCTGAGGTTGTCAAAATGTATAAATTTATTTTCAGGTATCATTTAACAGTCTTAAAAACAGTCGGTTATTTTAACGCAACGTAAACTATAAAAAAAGCCATTAAACCAAGACAAAAACAGTGTGTTGGCAAGATGCTGTAATCTCACCTGTCCTGCAGCTTCTGTCAGCCCGCATAGAGCTTTGGATGCCAAGCTCACACTTTCTCCAAAGGCCAACACATCACCTGTTTTACAGTGCTGAGAAATACCTGCCATGGACTCACCCAGAACCTGACACAAATCAAGTATTTGATTTAGGTCTTGAGCTGTTTGCTGAGTAAAAAAACAAACACCAAAAAACACTGACAGTAAAACTGAATACTTCATGAAACAATATGAAAAGTCTACCTTTGAGTTCTCCATGACGCTTTCAATGCAATCAAAGTAGGAGAGTTCATTTACAGGCTCGTTAAGGTTGCCTAGGAGACCTCTGACAGCCTGCGCACAGATGGTGTTGTTAAAGATTTCAACTTCTACGAACACATCAGTAAACATTTCTGCTGAAAAGTTTCTGCATATCTATCAGACAATTATTTCCCAACTTAAAATTCCTATTTAACATACTGGTAACACACACACACTAGATGATGATCTCATTACAAATTATGACAATCAATTACACTTTTTGAAATTGGGTTGTGTGGAGTACGTATGAGCAGTCAATACCTTACCTGCAGTGGACAAAAGTCAAAACAATAGCAGTTTGGATAACTAAGGAGAAAAACACCTCCTAATAGAGTCAAGCTAACAGCTATGTAGAAAAACAACCTTTACAGGAGCAAATTTCTGCCATAGCAACACAACCTAAATTCAAAAACATTGTAGATACTTGAGTAAAAACGTGAAGTATTTTTACATTTCTTTGCTTTTGATTAAGCCAATTACGTGAGCTGACACAAATCTCTCAAAGAAAAAATAAAAAGAATTGTGTTGGATCTGAAAATGTCCTGCTACCAAGTCGAGTTCTCCAGGATTTATCCCGTCTCTCTCACCACCAGATCCCTTTCTGTGATCTGGCTCGTGCATATAATCTCTTTTCTACCCAGTACCTACACATTGTTTATTCATTCAACCTTTATTCATACAGGTTAATGTTAGAATGTATACATAATATGTAATGTATACAGGTTTATGCTTTAGTCATACCTAATTTTTCTTTCTCACTGCTGTTTGTAAAATATTATAATGGAGGAATAATGAGTCACAGCTCGCAGTCACAGCTGATCAGCAGTAGAAAACATTCAGCAGCCTCTGTGCTAACAATTTTGCATGATGTTCAGGTGATAAACAGCTTACACATGCAAAAATGCGAATAAATATAAAAAAAAATCTGATACAGTATTTGCTTTAACTAATAAGCAATGCTTAAGTTTGGATTGTGTTAAATGGTAGATATTTGCTCTTGAATTGGCCCCATTTTAAATAGCTAGCTCGCTTAGTTTTGTTTAATTTCTTCCCGATTCTCTAAACTGAGACAGTTTTGGTTGTTATCAAATGAAGGTAAAATACTAGATGCCCATAACCACTCAACAAAACTTACAAAATGGTCAAATATGAGCAAAACCAAGCACTCTCCTTATTGTTGTTTAACAGAGTACAGGACAGAGCACATGAATGCAGACTTCATAATGCAAAACGCTGTTGTCTGACAAGCAGAACCAGTGCAGCTAATGCCAGTTCACTCTGCTCTATGGAAGTGACCAAATGCAAGAATGAAATGCCTTCCTGTAAGTTAAAAATGCACTGTACATGTACAGTACATACATACAAACATGCATACATGTACATGAATCACGTTTCAAGTGAATGTGAGGACAGCTACCTCTAGCTCCCTCAGGGCATTGTCACACTCCTTTTGTCCCGCTGCTTGCTGGGTACAGAGCGTTATCAGCTGGTTAATACTCTCTGTCACCGCCCTGAAACACACAGGCAGCCAAAGAAGCCTCTTTAACTCTCACATGTGTCATGTGCATGCACACAGGGCTAGCTTTGCTCACACATGCTTTGGGCTCCTCTGTTCAAGCATGGCAATGCAGGCCTCTCGCTAAAACACTGCGCACAGGGGTTCTGAGATTCTCTTGAATTTGTGTTCAGCCTTGCTGAGCACAGACAAGCTCTAGCCAAGGCTCCCATCCTCCTAATTAGGCAGAGAGAAGTCAGTCAGGCCTAAAGCCCTTTGGGACCAGCTGCTTGTCTTCTTTCTGCTAAGAGGAGGATGTGTATTCCTTTTAGCAAGGCCAAACAGACATGTTGTAGGAGGGGCATACAGATGCATCGGGGAGACGGTTTATATTCATCATGCCTTGGAAATCAATATCAGGGCTCATATTTAGCACAGAACATCTCTGTTTATCAGCACATACATAATCAAAAAAACAATCCATTTCAGCTACAGTCTGAATATTATCGCACCTTGCTGCCACAGCTAGCAGATTCTTTGCATTGGCTGCACCTGGATCCACAGACAGAGACTTGGCAGCCAGTAGCAGCTTACTGGATGCCATGGAGATGTTCTTTAGATTACCAATGACTTGGATCTGGTCGTCTTTGCTCTGCACGCACAAGAGGCAAGAACAAATACAAGTAACTGAAGCATGGACTCAGAGGTGCTAATCAATTTGGAGTAAATTTGTCCTTCGTTGAACCTGCAATGCCACTCCGTATCGGCATTAATCCCAAACATTTTTCTTAATTATTGACCAAATTATTCAAAACAAGAACACCACAAGATCTCATCTAAAGGGAAGATCTTGTAAAAGCATTATAGCTCTTAGAAACAAGAAGTGCCAAAGTTAATGAGATAAAAAGGTTCAATGACAAATGTCTTAAGGTGATACAAAGATGCACTTTGTATGTAAGTTTTAGACTATCAGACTAACTGTATGATCATAACTTACTTGGGTGTGTCCTGCCATCTCTATGCCAGCATCCAGGAACTCATCAAAGTCTTGGCTGAACTTCCCCGAGGCTGTAGCCAGCTGGCTGCTTGTTCCACGAGATGAGTGGACGACCTCTCCTGCTGAGTGGTTGAGCTCAGCTGCAGTGTGGTTCAGATCAGTCTGGGCCTCCTGGAATGTCTTATTGCAGGGCAGGAGCTTTAAAGAGAGGACACATTATTATGCCATGCTGCATAACACAAAAAGTGGTTAAATAGATTGTTCAATTATGTGAATGCACTTGTGCAGGACTCACAAAGTCCACTAGTAGCTTCTTGCTGGCTTCTCCGATGCTCCTTAGAGCCATGTCAACGTCCTTCTGGCCGGGCAGGCAATTCACACAGTTATTCAGGGAGTGAGACACCGCTTTGGCTACCTGAAACACAGTGAAACGTCTGTCAATGGACCGCCATTACGCATTCTAACAGCGTGCAAAGCAATAAAGCCCAAGAGCAAAGCTGTAGTAGGGAAGAAAAACATTTGAAATGCAAATGGAGCTCACAATACTGTCACTAATTTTTGCTGCTGTCACAGATTTATGCTAAATAATGTGTTTATCTCCTGAAGGTTTGCAGGGAAATGAATGGTTTTAGTCTTGAGGGAGGAATGTCAGGCAACAAAGACACAGCAGGGAGAAAATAGCTACGCTTAGAGAAAATGATTTTGTAGGAAAAAAAAACAGAAATGCTTACAAACCAGTGGAGTATGAATAAGTGACATTTATATATATATATATATATATATATATATGATCCTCTTGTTATTTCCTCTGAGTGTATAAATATATATTGTTACTGAGACTAATGTTACCTGTGCCAGTCTCTGTTGACTCTCAGCATCTCCAGGGTGAACCAGAGCCTGGTGGGCCTCATGGATCAGCATGGCTGAGCCCTCCATCACATACTGGGCTGAGTCTAACATTGCAGCTGCAGCCTGAGGCTCCTTGGTGCTGGCTGCCACACCTCTGGCTGCTTGGGCCAACGTTCTCAAAGCCTGGGCTGTTTCTCGAGCAGCAACACCTGCAAACAATTCATCACAGTTTCATTTGCAAAATAAATATTGTATAACAAGGATATAAAGCAAATATAAAAATGTACGAGGCAATTTATGTATAATTTTAACAGTACCAGTTTGTATAAAATTAGTTTTTTTTCCTCAAAAGTGTAATATTTAACTAATATACAGAATAAAGCTAACATTTCTCCACCTATTGCAATTCTTAAATTTGTTTTGCTTCTTTCTTAAGTAATATAAAACACACCTTTCTTCTGACAGTAACTCTAAAAGAGCTGCACATCCTATCTGTGACCAAACTTGAACACCCAGATGCCCTCATTGTCTAAATAAATGAAGTGATATAATAAATTTGGTCCCGCATGGGAGGTTCTCTTAAACTATTACACACAGAGCTAAAAAGCAGCAAATTGCATCAAATTAAATTAACCAGTGGAGGGAAGCCATTTGCTGATGGAATGTTAAATCCAATGGAACAAAAAAAAAAAGATTAATGAGCAGCAAGCAGCACCCTGGGCCACAGCATGAAGTAGGGCCTGGAAGCGTGTGTTGTTGGAAATGTTATTTTCTATTTGTCCTCAGCTCCAATCCGCTGAGATTCAGTGAATAAGAATTGATGGCAAAACAGTCAAAGCCATGCTGGATTTCAGGGATCCAGTTTAAGGACACAACAATAGACATCACACTTAACATCGTATTTCTGTCATGTCTGTCTGCTGCAGGAATGCAACAAAATCGATAAATAAAATGAAGTGAATAATTATAATAAATGTCATTTTGAGTATTTCCGATCGGTGTGGTATACACTACCTGTATAATGTTCATTGCCCTGTGCAGCACATGTCAGCAGCTGAGCCATGGAGGAGCCAACAGCCTTGGATGTACTTCCCAAATCCTGAGCACACTTTTCCAGCTGTGTGAGTAACAATACACAAAGTCAGGAGCTATATCATTGTCACATTGGTGCAGTGCTATTTGAAAATGTGTTAACTCTATAATTTGTACTTAAATGTATGGCAACAAACAAACAAAAACATACTCAGTCAGATTCCTAAAGAGGAAACTATTCCAATACAGTAGTCCCTCACTACTTCACAGTTTGTTTATCGCAGACTGGCTCTATAGCGGTTTTTCAAAAAAAGATTGGACATGACACACAATTGGCTAAATGATGAATGAGCTGCACGATTAGCATGAAGTTTTATTTAAAATAAATTATTTTAAATTATTTAGCACCTGCTGCACATTTGTGCAATCCACAATGCAGGATAAACTTCCTCCTGCAGCTGATCAGCTGTTCTCCATGCAGAGTGGAAAAGTAGGCGTGGCCAAGAGTGCTTGCAGAGAGGAAAATCATGACATTCTGTGCTCTTAGATTGTTTAGAGTTTAGAAATATTTTTTAGAATATTGCAACTGTGTGGGAAGGGTTTAAAATGCCTTTAT